GGACTGTCCAGTACTTCCCTTATCCTAGCTTTTATATGGACTGTCCAGTACTTCCCTTATCCTAGCTTTTATATATACATGGGAATTAAGGTCCAGAAAGATTATGACTATTTGAAATGAACTTAAATTACCATTACTCTCCATAAGGAAATGCGGGGTGAATGTTGCACCCATGAGAATATTGTTTTGCTCAGAATCTCTGAGGTAGGCAGGTCTTTAGTTCTTGTGGCCAAGGAAATTAAGAGTCCAGTAGCTATGTCTCCCTGCAGAGTGAGAGACTGACCTTCATAAAGGGTCTGGTAAGTTTATTTGAACTAAAGTAACATTATCACAGAATGATCCAGTGTGACCATACCTTGGCACTGCTGGGATCTAGGGTGAGGCAACATATCTATTATCCTGTTGAGTTGCAGAGATCTCTCTGCTCTTTAGTCTCCTCCAACCTCAGCTCTGACCTCAGGAGTAATGAAATCCAAGATGCTCCTTCCATAACCAGGAAAATAGAAGCTTCAAAGAGCTTCCTTACAAGTTCAACCACGAAAACAAGAAGATATTTGCATGGATAACAAATACATGCTTTTTTAATCTGACACTTTGGAACATACTAGCTCTTTATCATCCTCATCTTTCTTTGGTACAGTTCTCAGCCCAAGGTGATGACAAAGGCCTGATTAACAGTGTCATTATATCTCAGACTACCAAGCTTTCTTTTTTTTTAATGTTCTAGGAGATCTTAAAAAAAAAAATGGTCTCACGTGTTACTTTATGGGAGCTTTTGTTTCAAATGCCAGATATTATCCAAGTTTTGTTATATTTGCAATATTAAAAAAACTCTGCTTGTATGTTGTAAAGCCACCAATAATTAGTCGACTATATTGCTTATGCCCCAACCATGGTGTGAAGGACATTTACAGGCCTCCTCGGGGACTCCTTTGCTACCATTTGTCATCTGCCTGTAATGTTAAATAGGGACCCCCTTTGGATGTGTGGGAGGTGAATTCTAATGCCACACAGAAAAATAGAGAGAGATGTTTTCCCCATTTTATTTTGTTTTTCTGAATCTATACAGGCAACAGCCTCAGATTCCAATCACCACAGGAACAGGTGTTGTGTATCCTGGTGCTATTACTATGGCAACGACCACACCATCACCTCAGATGACATCTGACTGCTCTAGCACCTCTGCCAGCCCAGAGCCCAGCCTCCCAGTCATCCAGAGCACTTATGGTATGAAGACAGACGGTGGAAGCCTAGCTGGAAATGAAATGATTAATGGAGAGGATGAAATGGAAATGTATGACGACTATGAAGATGATCCCAAATCAGACTATAGCAGCGAAAACGAAGCCCCGGAGGCTGTCAGTGCCAACTGACCAGTGTTTGTTTGCTGAATTAAAATACTCTGACATTTCACCTCCCCTCCCCCAACAAAAAGTTCTTAAAGAGCCCGCATGCATTTGTGGCTCCACAATTACATCAGCAGAATGGTCTTAATTGTTTCGTAAAGTGTGAGACAGATTAAGTTTTCCCTGATTTTTCATGAACTTGAGTTTTTGTCGTTATTGTTATTGTTGTTGTTGTTGTTGTTTTAATTTAGGTGAAGACATATTAAATATGAGACACCAGGACTTGAAAACTTATCTCAACCCATAGCTGTCTTACAAGTCTTATATTTTTGTCTTACTTTTTTTTTTCTTTTGGATGTTGATAAAGGTTTAAGTTACTGTTTTAGATGGGGTTAAACATTCTCACTCAGGTATGCTGTGCCGGCCTACAGGTTGTGAATGTGTTTTTATTCTGAATTATTTTAGAAAACAGCTGAGGATTTCATATTGTGAAACAGAACAAGTCCATGGCGTGTGCAGCTGCATGTAGATCATATTCGAAAGGCCTCGGAATTCCATTTTTCCATGTGTAGAATTAACCTTTGAATGTGCCAAACTTTTTCATAACTTTTGAATCTTAATATTTGAAAGTCTTAAAGAAGACACTGCAAAGTCTTAGACAATCTTTGGCATCTTAAAATAAAATAGCAAAAACCATACATTTTTTTTCCAGAAAATGGTAAAGTACTCAGGAATCTGGAGACAAGATATTGTAAGGAACGAGCAAGGTTGCCACAGTGCGTGCACCGGCTGCGCTTGCCTCTTGACGTGCCATCAGCATGTGCCGCACACCACAGCGATCACCACACCAGACACGACACGGTGGTCTTCTCTGCCTGAGACCACCTCTCACTACATCCACTACCCCTTAGCCTTCACCCTGACATTCAGTCTTAACACATTTTCTCTTAAATAATTTATTCATTCCAGAATGTCAAGGGTCCACTTACTATTTATTAAAAAAAAATGTTGGTGGCATTAATTTAATAATTCTTGTTTTTTTCACCCTCCTTCCCTGAAGAACTTCTCAGTCCTTTTTACCTCCTTCTCCTGCTAGATACAAAAGATGTACATAGTGATTTTATGTCCCCAGAGCATCTGGAAGCATTTCTGAAACAAGATACTATTAAATACCTATATTGTTTTTATAAACATGAGTATCTCACTGTGGGGCTTTGCATTTGGATACATGTGTAGAGTATTGCATTTCAACAGGTGAGCCCCTGAGTTTTGCCATGACCTTTAAATCTTTTGCCAGAATTTCCCCTTAATTCATTCAGCAGCAAGTGGTAGGATCTGCATCAGTGGCATTTTCCCTGAATGCCATTCAGCAGCAAGGGTGAACAGTGGTGACTGCCAGGCAGGAGAGTCCCGCAGCCAAACCCAAGGCCCAAGGCTGTGGGCCATGGAGGAGGCGACAGGGATGCTGTCATGGGCTGGCACCTTTATACTGGGTTGCCTTGTCCCAACTGGCACATGTAGGGAGTTCTTTGTAAAATCCCCAGGATGCAAGAAGCCACATGCCAGCCTCAAAGCAAAGATAAAGGTAAATAATCATGATCCATCCAGAGAATAAACTTTAAATATACATACACACACACACACACACACACATATGTATGTATGTATGTATGTATATATATATATATATGTGGAAAGAGGAGGAGGGGAAATACATCTCCCATAAGGGATGTTCCCACTGTTAATTATAGGGAACAGATCACTCCTAGGCAGCAGATGAGTTCCCCTGGCTCACCCCCTCCCTCTGGGACTATGTGGGGAACATACCTTCTTGTGAGCATGTATACTGCCCTTCTCACATAAGGACTTCTCTGGAGACACGCTGATAGGCTTGGAGGCAGTGAGGCTTCATTCTCCATGTCCTAACTACAGAGGCTTGGCCATACCATTTGGACCTTCCTGAATCCAGGAATGATTGCCTATGGAGGGCCTCACCCAGAGTGGTTCAATGGAAGAATGTCAGCAAATGGGACAGTTCACCTCAAGGGACAACCCAGAATCTGGTCACCAAGACATAGGAATGGCCCCATCAGATTTCTTGAGCCATTTTGTCACTTGGAAGAAAATAGTGTACCTTCATATTTATTAAAAGAGTGCTCAAGGCAAAGCCCTACCTAATCGCAATAAGTAGGTCTCGCCGAAATCTTCCTGGCTATGTCATTAGCTAGGAGTGCTCTCTATAAGCTCTTTAAGGTACTGATAGGAATGTTTTGTGCTTAATATTGGTTGGGGATTGGAACTTTGTTTTTGTACATTTATTTCAAATGAGGAGGAGGTCATTTTTCTCAAAAAAATGAGTATTTATTATTGTCTTACTGATTTCTTTTGATTATATACCTCTCCTCCTCATTAATTCTCATGTTTTTTCCCCTTTCTCTTTGACTTCTGCTTCTGCCCTCTCCCACTCCGTTTTTATTTTGTTGCATAGATAGAGTGCTGTATGGCTAGCATTGTATTGTATGTAATTAATTTTGCACAAAGGCAAACATTTAGAATAGTAGTTTAATTTTGTTTGTTTTTATGACCATGCCAAAATAATATTCTGGGCTGGTGGAGAACAAAGGACTGTTCTTTAGGACTGAAACTTGATTTTGCTTGTAGTAAAAAACAAAACAAAACAAAACAAAAAAATCAACAAAACACACACACTCACAGATGTTGTTTCGTAAGTGTTATAAGCACTGGATAGAAATGGTATTTTTTATCACTTCTGACTAATGTGAAACTGTTGTACGAAAACTACATGAACAAAAGTCATCTGTTTCGACTCGTGTGGGCTTGCCTCACAGTTGCCGGATTTGAGTCATTTTTATGTCTTGTTATTTCATTTATTTATGCAAAATACATGTGTGTATGAACACTTTGTTTTAGCTCCAGCTCTGCCTCAGTACTGGGGCTCAGTTACTTCTAGCCACATTCTTAAAAATGAAAGGCTATTCAGGAATGATGTGATTGTAAACGTTCCTTTCATTGGGTCAAACAGCGATGCTGTATTTGAATCTAAATTCTGTGCATAAACAGTCTATTTTATTTATTAGCCAAGTTTGGCTCTAAATATCCATGGAAATTAAGAATGACAATCATAGGGATCACTTCATTTATTTTCAGTGGGGCTTAAACAAAGTTTTTAGGACTTTACCATCTCATTTTAGATTTTTCTAATTGTGTAAATATAACATAGAAATAGAATTTATTTTTGGTTCATGAGTACTTAGATCTAAGTTATGTATTTCCTTTTTGTTCTCTATCCATGTATGTTGGTCCAGATTAGAAGTTGACAAGTCACTGGACCTCACGGGGTTAGTGAATCATCAGCCGCAGTGAGAGAGCAGCGTTCCACCTGTAGCCGGGGCAGTAAAATCCTTTCCTTGGGTTCTCACACATTCTAGAACCCACCGTCCACTGACTCAGACTTCAACCTTTTATTTCTTATAGACAGTTGATGGATCGAGCACACTCAATTTCCAGTGCAGCTGGAAGAGTCCATTTGCTTTGTGAACCCACATAAATATAGGTAGTTCTGTGACCATTGAACAGCAAGAAACAGACTGCCTTTATAAAGGCAAAACTCTGTAACTGAGAGTGACCACTAATGAAACGTCCACCAAGCCAATTAGATTAAAGAAAGATTCTCGTCTTGTTTTCAGTGCTCCCTGTTTCATAGTGTCTTCAAGTCCAAGATCAAGATTATTTCCATTTTGTTAGAGACACTGGCAGACAATCCTTTCCTAAAAAATAAATGATGAGCCACCATATGGAGTAAGACAGAAAAGAAAAGAAAGAAAGAAGAAAAAAGGGAAGGAAGAAAGGGAGGAAGGGAGAGAGAAAGGAAAGGTCATCCTTTGGACAGAGCAGGCAGGCAGGCAGGCATTTCCCTGGCAGAGGTGATGCAGTATCTTTTCCAGGAAGGTATGGTAGCTTTGTTGTTTTCACATGTATCCAGCATAACCTTTCAGGAGCACATCAGTTCGCTTCATTTGGTATTTGATACTCCCAGTCTTGTCCTCAAGCCTGATTTGATTTGCCAGGGTCCTGATACCAACTGCCATGCCAAGTTCTAAATTCAGGTGTGGGCTCACAGTGCTGTTGAGCTGGACAAATTCTGGTCTCCCCTGAACATTAGCCCCACTGCAGCCTGGGGTGTTTGAAAAGGGTGTGATCCCTCTAGGGCTGAAATTGAAAGCATCTTCCTATTCCTTATGAAGCTAGGCGACTTCTTCAGAGCAGGGCCTCCAGAGCAGGGCTGGCAAGCGCTAGCTGAAAGTAGGTATTGTTTCTAGAAAGCCCATCAACCCAGAGGAGAAAGGGGGCCTGGTCACTTGAACATCACAGCTGAGGCTGCGTTTTACCAATTACTCATTTTGCAAAGAGGTGACCTCTGCTTACTCATTCACTAGGACAGGAAAAAGAATCAATTAGTAGTCTTAAACCACATGAGAAGTCTTGTACAAAGTGCCAACCACCGCGAAGAATGCAGTTAGAGGAATGTATTGAAATAATTACCGGGTCTTCCTTTTGAATGGGAAAAGGACAAAAATGGTTGCTGTAGCCTTGCCTGATTTTTTGTATATGTTTGTCTAAGGACTGAGTTGGCACTTAAGCTCACTTCTCGAAGTATAATGATATTGTATGACCTCATTTGTCCTTTACAAAAGCACTTGCATCATTTCCTTAAGTCATCTGCCCCCTGACATGTTTTCTTCCTTAATAAACAACTTCTATCTGTTATTCCTGCCGATGATGTTCTGTTTCTGATGCCATAAACTGTTGAGCATACCCCTCTGCTACTATCATTGAAAATAGTGATATGCAAACACATTTCCTTTTCATCCCCATCCTATCTTCTCCTCTGGGGACAGGTTGTTTTCCAAAGCTCATGGACAAGGATGGATTTGGAATGCTGGTACCTTTGGGGCAGGGCTAGAAGTGGGTGGGGGTGGGCAGAAACGTAACGCTGAGGGAGGATGCCCTGCTAGGGGCTGTCTGTGGCGGTCTGAAAGCTTGAAGGCAACTCAGTGACCTGTCTTGCTCAGTAGTTTCTTATTCCTGAAGAACCACAGGCATAAAGTGAGGCCTCGGTGCTGGTGCTCTTGGAGTATGGGGAATGTGCAAATATTTAACTGTTTTTGTATGCTGCACCTTGCAGATCTGCTCACGTGCATTCTCCGTTCGTCTTCCTTTGTCATATGTGTTTTTGCTTTCTTGAAAGTGCAGTCTCTATTGTATCCTTCTCCAGCTGGTAGCGAATTAGAATGCTTAGCATTTATGTTCATTCATTATTGTATTTGCCATGTAAAATTTTTATTACCTTAGACAAGCTTATAAGCTGTTACTACATAACTTATCTTACTGTAACTCTTTGATTTCCAGACATTGTAATTTGTTTGTGATGTATATTGTGAGATTGTATTCTATGTTAATTTAATCAGCACAATTCACTGACATGCTGGACTGACATGCTGGCTGCTGTTTCAAAATGTAAAGTTTGTGTAGGGCTGTTGGGACAACTGCAACTCTGTTGTCAAGGTGCTGTGCTTTGATTCCTCTAGCAACACGGGGGTGTGGCCCTTGAGAAAGTAAGGGCACTTTGCACACCCTCCAGCAAATTTTAGCTGCAGATTTTTCTTTGTAGAAATTCTATGTATAACGCAGGTACCTACTTGGCCCATGGCTGGTAACTATTTGGTCAATTAGAAAAAAAAAAAAACCAACAAAACCATAAAAACTAGTGTCTATTGCTGCTTTGAATATGTTTGAAAGTCTGAAAATGTAAATAGTTTATCAAAAAAAAAAATCTTGTACAGTCCAGTGTAAAGTTTTTAAATGACCTTAAGGGTTGCCATCACATCTTTCTCACACTCTCCTCTTGATAACAAGAAAAAAAAAAGTTTGCTAAGGATGAACGAAACGGGGAAAAAGGAGCTCTTCAAATCCCAAGGAATGAATCACCGCTCTGAGCTGTGTTGCATACACGAACTTCTTGGAT